AAACCATATTATAGTAGAATTACTAAGTAACATATAGTAAATAATTGGAATTCATATTTAATTCAGAATCGTATTGTTGATCAAATTTTCTTTTATAGTAATACAACCACATGTATGGACCAGAATACAATCAGTCAAATTATACAAATGAGATTACAAGAACTCCAAAATCGCTGGTGGTTTACTATACCAATTACCAATACATACTTAACAAAATCCTTTTTACCTATTGGACAAGACCTCATCCACAATATCATTATGCTTCTCAAACAATTCCAAATCATAGGCATACCTACATCTCTAAAAATAATTTCCAAAATTAACACAACAATCGAGGAAATAATGGGACTACAATGGTATCAATGTCACAGAAAGCAACTTGTCAAGAATTGTATCCTATTTATTAATCAATTTACAAACTTTCATGGATCATGTCTCACAGCATGGGCTGAAGTAACATATTACAACAAAAACCCAAACTGGTTTAAAGAAATTCAAATGTGCAAAAAACTCAATGAAAAGATCGAATCCAAAAAAACACAAATTATAACAAAGCAACCATACAAAATAGTAGCAGAAGTATTAAAAAAGAAAGTCAAATAAATCACAGCAAGAATAAATAACCAAAATATCATCAGAAGAAAAAAAACAATCATCAACAACACAATAACCGCACAACACTACAACAGAATTAACAGCTTATCACCACTCGAAGAATGTCCAGAATGTATATTAAACACTTTACACAAGCAAGGAGAATGCAACTTCCAATTCAAACAAACAGTGGAATCTACATACCAGTCCATAAAAGTAGAATCAGTACCAGTGAAACAGAAGATAATAAGCTTCGACAAAAAGTTAGAATTACACCCAACAGTATCGACCACATCGTTTTAGATAAATTCCAAAACAACAATTTTTCAATATCATCCAGAATCATAATTGATAGAAATACAAACCACAACCAAATAATAAACAGGTATATATAGACAAGCATTAAAAAACAAACTGAACTAAAGAATATTAGAATCAAAATTGAAAGGAAGAACAAACTGACAATCTTTACAGATGGCTCAATAAATAATAATCAATCAATGGGATTTGGATGGCATATCAAAAACATGAAAGAAATCAAATTCCAAGGCAAAGTCATATTATATCCATTATTGATAAAAGCAGAACTAGCAGCAATCGCCACAGCACTTATAACAATACCAGCTGGAGCAAAAATAACCATTTGCAGTGATAGTTAACCTGTGATTAGCAACATTCAAAAAGTACAGTCAAATATTCAAAAATTAAGAGAAATGAAAAATGCAAATATAATCAACACAATAACCACCATAATTGAGACACAACACCTTTTAGTAAAATGGATAAAAATTAAAACCCACAGCTCCAACAAAAATAATGACAAAGCAGATATGCTGGCAAAAAAAGCCTGTAACCTCATACAAGAAGATGAAATAACATTCAATTCAAATATAAACAAAAAAGTCATATGGATACCAGAATGGAATGAAAAGATCCTTGACAACTCAATTTCCCAAACAATTAAAGATATCAACCAAACGAAACAAATTATAAGTTAGAGAATGCTAAATAGAAACTTAATAACCATCAACACCACAACCAATCAAAAAATCGCTTAGAAAAAATCATTCAAATATAAATACTTATCAAAAATCACCACAGGAGACACCAATATAATAGATCATGATACACGTTCTTTCCATTTCAAACTATGAAACTTAGAACTTCCAACCAAAGACAAGTTCCATGAAAGATCAACATTCACTTATACAGACAATATTTGTCTAACATGTAATCAAATAAAAGAAATAAACACACACAGTATACTATGTGAAAGTAAAAGACAAAACCTTCTCAAAAATCTCAATCAAATAATCAATAAAGAAGTCAATAGCAGAAATAAAATTAAACTAAAGAACAGATTAAATAGAGATCTTAAAAAGGATCAAAAATCATGGATCAAAGAAATATATAATCTTATGGCAAGAGGAGCCTTATCAACAAGCACAATTTCTATAATCAAACAGTACAATACAGAAGATCATTAACAATACATAAAAAAGATTTTCAACAGGTTTCTAACTTATTTGGCAAATATATGGAAACTATGATATATAGCCTTTGCAAAATGGGAAGAAAAAAACAATATAAGCACAAAAGAAAAAAAAGTATGGAAATACAATAGCAATAAACAAAAAGAAACCAAGGGCAAAGAAACAATTATAGATCAAGAAACTGATAAAATAATTAACTATGTCAGAACAAGTTGATGCAATTGGAATACAATCTACTCATTCGAAAATAATTTTAAATAGGACTAGTAGAGCCTTGACAAATTAGCTAAGTATATACAAGTATTTGGCAATAAGCTGTATGATAAGATTTATCTTTAACAAGTTAATTAGATAGACAAAAGAGAAAAATTTGTAAAACGAATTTAATGTACCTAAATATAAATATCTAATAAACAAGGTATAAGCTGCCCAATTAAAAAAATATATATTATAAATATATTTTTTAAACTTTATATTATAATCAACATTGGTAAATATTTGCTCCATTTAGTGTTTAATGGAATAGAGCAATGGAATCTGTATTCCATTGATTCCATTGGCTCCATTGTGGCACAGCATGTTATACTCGGTATTGGCTTTTTTAGAATGATCAACATTAATAATCAATAAAAAATATGTTTTTCATCTAATCTAGTTTTTTTCATATAATAATTTTCTTTTTCTTATACAACTATAACGACATTATTATGAAATGATATACAGGTGAAAAACCACCTTATAAACTCATTCCCTATATTGAGGTCTTATCAATACAAGTGAACAAGTTTAATAAAGCTGCTGTATATAAGGCATGTATCAAGAAATTGGGAAAAGAATTGGTATTGAATAAATTAGTGTTTACTAATACAAAAATTTGTATAAAAACACATTTAAAAAAGTGTATACAGTTTGTTGAGTTGTATATTGAAGAAGAAAGAGCAAAAATTCTATATGCATCTAATGAAGAAAATCAGCAAATGGATATATCATCAATTATTACTTCAAGTAGCTTTCTTTCAAGTTCATCAGAAAAAATCATAACATTGCATAAACCTACTTCTTCTATATATCATTTATGAAGTCAGCTATCAAAAAGTTCTATTGAGAATTATCTCATTTATGATTTAAATTCAGCTGAATATTGCATATTTGAGTATCATTTATTAAAAGTTACAATAAGTAATGGCTAGGCATTTAATTGGATAGACAATCTTGAGGTCTTTGCCCTTTTCAGATTTCTTAATCCAAATATTTCCTTACCTGGATGTCATGTTCTTGCTGGTCATATTCTCTCATCACACAGTGAGGAGTTGCAACGTAAACAAGCCATCAATGCCAAAAAAGAAGAAGTTGGTAATACTCTGGCATTTGATGGCTTGAAAAATGTTAATCATCAAGAAATTTTAGGAAGTGTTCTTATTACAAGTAAAGAGAAGGTGCTTGTATAGGAAGCTGAAGATATTTCTGGAGATGGTACTTGCACAATTGATGTGGTGGAAAAAATTAAGAGTTTCTTTGTACATGCAGAGAGAGATGATGTTAAAATTATTGCAGTAGTAACAGATAATACATCAGCATATGCATCAGCAAGATTAGTTAGCATACTAAGAAAATTATAAATTCAGATGGTCTTTGATAGTAATTTATTGCTTTGTTTTTTATTAGGTGGAAAATGTGGTTAGAGTACAAAGATATTGTTTTTCTGCTTTGCTTTGCACACCAAGCAAACTTGTGTGTTGCTGATATTTTTAAGTCATCCCCTTTGTATAAAACTGTATTCTCAAAAGCAATTACTATTGTTGCTTATTTTATAGACAACAGGAACTTATCTTGGATTAAAAAGTTACATGATAAGCAGAAAGAACTATACGGAAAATATTATGCTTTAATAAGACTGACTTAAATACAGTGGAATAGTTACTATTTCTGCTTTGCATCATTAGTATGTAATAAGAGAGCTTTAAAGGTATGCTTTCACTTTTTGCTATAATGATATTGATGGGAAAATATGTTAATGGATAAAAAAATAGGCACTTGCTTTGTACTATCAAGAATTACACATATGTATTATAACACACTTGGAAGATAACGAATGGTGGCAAATGATTGAAGAACTAGAATCACATTTGTTTCCATTTATGGCGATACTCAATCATCTACAATATGATGTTGTATGGTTATCAGATGTTCTCCATGCATTTGCTTATTTCATGCAGTTATATAAGGATCGCGAAGACAGTTTTAGCAAAAATATGATCCAATATATAGAGTCTCTATGGAAACAGTGGGAATAGCCATTGCTTATTCTATCTTTCTTCCTTCATCCCAAGTACTATAACAGTATCTTTAATAGTAATCTTTCTTCACTAAACATATCTCAAATTAGGTTATGGATAAAGTACTATTATAAAAAATGGTTCAAAACATGACCATCTGTTATCTTATCAGAATTCTCAAAATTTATCAACAAAGACTATCCATTTGATAATAATATGTTCTCAAACTTCAATGACATTCAAGAATACTGGAAGTTTACGACAGGAGCAACAAAAGAATTAAGTATTCTTGCAGTTCGAATCTTTTCAATCTGCATAAATTCAGCATCATGTGAACAGCTGTTTTCTTCAATAGGCTTTATACATTCAATATGATAAAACTAATTGCAATATAAAAGAGTCTATAAGTTTTATTTAGGTTCGACTATTTGCTAAATACTTATTCTACATTCTATTTAGCTTGGAAAAGTATTTTCAATGGCATAGATGCATGCCGAAATAATATATAATCGTGCAATTAAGGTTGCACGTGAATTAGAACAATGTATATATACAAACACATTTACATATAATACTGAAAACCATGAATCGAATCCAGAACACTTTTCTGAAAGTGTTGAAATTCCTTTTGAAGGAATAGACATAATCATTGATGAAAGTAAAGAGATGTCCACCATGAATGATAGTAACTAATATGGTTCGATCACAAATACTGATGTTGATAATGAATGAAGAGTGGTTCTTAATGACTAGTCAGAAGACCTTATGGCTGAAAATACAGAAACTCTTGTGTTCAAAAGTCAGATGCCTGATGATTTGTTAACGCGTTATCCTGCAGATGATCCTGCGGGGAAGTGGAACCTTGCAGACTTATTCATAGTTAAATTCCTTGCATCCTTAACAATGAAAAATCTTCAATTAGTTTATGATGTAGATAACAGTCTATGTTTACAATAGCATATATGTATACTGCATTTATAATATATTTCGTTGGCTTTTATGAGTCCTATATTCTAATTAGTACAAGTGAAACTTTATAAGCCGAAGGTTGTGGAAAGAGACAATTATTTGGCTTATCAAGATTTTCATTTTATCAATTTCGCAATAAGCTGAATTTATATATAGTATAACTTTCAGTTTATTATTATAAAAACATTATATATAAACTTTATTAATAATAAAATACATATTTTATTGTTTAGTTTCAATTGTTTTCCTTCAAAATCGATCCATTTCAGGATCATGCCAGCATGAAAATGATTTATTATAGACAAATCATTTAAAATGATATGTCGCAGTATTTCGCTTTGTCCATGTGGGAGATCCTTATTGAAATAACATTGGAGAATGAAATCGTAGTAACCATTCCAAGAAATTCAAGAGAATTAAATGTGTGAGATGACTTTCTCCATAGCATCCCTCAATAGCATCCATTCTTGGTAGGTCCAATGGGCTATGTCGTATCCTAAGATTGGACTCTGTTGGACCCCCACCTTACCTATATGTCCCAGGTCATACCCTGGTTGATGTATAAGCATTAGTCATCCAGCAATGAGAAAAAGTACCGTTCGTTCAGATTGACCAAATCTTTGGAGTTCAACAGATGCCATGGATTAGAATTGATCTTATGAATTAGGTAATGATGAATTCTCTCGTCACCATCACTTGGTGAAAATTCCGTTGATGATTTGAACCAAATTGTCATGCAACCATTTGGATTTGTTCTCCAAGATATGTTTCTATAATTTTCCGGTCACCTCGTCGATGCCAAAATGATTCGCGATCTTCAGGAGGTTAATGCAGAGTACCCTATCCAATTTCAATTCATTCATACTCTTGTAAAAGAATCTGTTATAATGGAAAGAAGGACTAAGTTAGGTGAATGGGTCAGAACAATGAATAAATCAGAAAGACTGAGCATTTGAGATTTACCTGAGCAATGCCCAAAACTGGGGTTTTTATTAATAATCGTTCTTTTTACCAATTTTTCAACCAAACATTAAACAATTCCTAAGAAAAGTTTGGGACACTACAGTGGAATAGAACTACCTGGGGCTAATGTATTCAGTGAAACCTGAGGTTCTTCTAGAACTTTACAATCATCTTTCAAGATGTAACTGTGAGGTAGGATGTTTCGAAAGTATCGTGATTTTGATTCTAGCACATCTTCGCCAACTCTAACATGTCAAATTCCTTTTGTGAATAATATTCTGGAAATGAATCTGAAATGCCAATTAGTTGTTCGTAATTATCGCTTTCCAAAAAATTCAGCAAGTCAATACAAACCATTCATTCCGGGCGAGGTTTAAAGGCAGAAAATGAATGACTCTCCTGCTGAGAATGATGTTTCGTTTCATTTCGTTTTAAAGAGTACTTCTTGTAAAAACTTTATTTAATAACACTAATGGTTCTGGGGAAAAGCATCTCTGATGAAATGACATAAACCCTGGCATGATAGATCTAACTACAAACAATATACAAGAGTTAATTGAACTTTTCCCATAAAAATATATATAGCGAAATGGAATAAATTAATAAAATGAAATTCATGTGATTACCTTGATATATTGGCTTATCATTTAATACTTAAGCTATAATAAAATTTTGAAAATAAAGAATGTTAAAATCATGTGACTTATTTTATAAATAGAACAATATCCATTGGCTTACCATTGGAGCAATGAAACATTAAACTGAAACATTGTTCTAGTTGGTCACTGGAGTATAATGTAACAAGGTTAATTATAATATATAATTCAAAATAATTTAATAGATCCTTGCCAATCCAAAAAAACAAATATTCTTAAAAATATCTCTTTATTTTTGATAATAAAGTCTATACACTTTTCTTAAAAACCTTACTTCCTGAAAGCTGATGTCTCTCCTATTTGTTTATTTTTTCTTCTTTTAAAAAACTTTATATGTTTCAATAACAAAATAAACAAAACTTTATTCATTTGATTTATGGCAAGAACATCTTACTGGAAAGAAGAAACCTGTCAAAAAAATACCCTTTACTATATTTTCCCTAGGTCTGAAACTCCAAAAAGTAAATTACTAGTAAATACATTTTCCAAGCTCCATAAGAACCTTGAATCCATTATAAGTAAACAACCTTCATTTTAAGACAAATGGATAAGCTAATTGGGTCTATCAAGTGAATATATATCTCAAGTTTCATAAGAATCTTGGATCCACCATAAGTTAAAACTCTTATGATCCAAGTAAATAGATAAACTAATAGGAGTCTACCTATTCAGATATATGATTTTTCTTTACTAGTTATTTATATCTGTAATAGTACTCTCATGCATGTTAAATTTTTTTTGATTTTTTTGAAGAATTTTGTCTATCTCAGTTTGATTCTGAATTTTTTATTACACTGGAATCTCTGATTGATAATTGGCTAAAATCTTGGACTGGTTGATCAATACATAAAAAAAAAGTAAACAAGACATATACTCCTATATATTTTATGTCATGCTACACAATAATCAATAATGCAATTGAATAATGATAAAAGAGTGAGATTGTAACAATTTTCTACTTTATTGTATCTGCTGTATCATACAATATGTGATCAGAACACTCCAAAACACTCCAGAATACTTAAGAATACCTCAGAACTTCCTGGAATATATCGAAACCTTTTTGAACCTCCTAGAATCTTATAGAATACTCCAGAATATTATTAATCATTTCTTATTATTAATTGTGTTTAATACATTTATACTTATTTGAGAAACAAGAGATTATTATTAAGTATACATAACATTTATTATATTATTCTTTATTTCTTATTTTATATTTATAATATATAAGTTTTCCAGAAGAATTAATAAGAACTTATATATTAATAATTTGTATTTTTATTTATATATTTATATATTTATTTATATAATAGAGAATAACTATAAAAAGAGGGCCTTTCTATCTTTGTAAAACTCAAACTTGTACTTCACTTTTAAGTTAATAAAATATAATTATTCTTTGAATAAATACTTGTGCCTTTTTTTATGATTTCCTTTTGCTAAATTACAAGCTTATTGTTTAAACTATTTCAATATATTTAAACTCTTACAAAGATATCAAAATATTCTCTTAATAAGAAATAGTTTGAAATCTTCTATCTCCTTTCTTATATCAGTTTCTTTTCTTTTTAAAATCAAAAAAGATTCATATTAGATTGGTAATTAGTTTAAATAAGTTTTTATTTATCAGTACAAACTTTTTATTTTCCTTTTATCTTCTCTTTACTTCTTAAAAAAATAATAACTTTTTTACCTCTTAAGATAACAAGATTGTATCAGGGTAACAATCTAAATATAGGCTGGCTTTAATCTCTTGAAGCTAAGATTTTAATATTTAACTTTGGAAAGAAGCAACTCTATTATTTTCTATAATCATATCTAGAGAGTTAGAATTTAAAAAGTCTAAGATAGTTAGTTTCATGCAATAATAGCTTAATGAACTTACTCTTTTGTAATGAAATAATTAGTAAATAGCTAGATCATATGAACAATATAATAGTCTTGATATTAAGAATTCAAGAATTATGTACAAATATATAATTTGTTAACAGGTATTCTACTATGAAAAAATTGTTTAGAGTTGTTATCATAAGTTATGCAATATGATTTTAATACAATAATACAATTAAAAATTTGAAATTTAAATTTTTTTTAATAAATATTGTTATATTATTTTAAATTTAATTTAATTCTATATAATTGAATATATATATTATTGTTATTATTATTTTATACTAGGTTAAATACAAACATACTACTATCTTATATATTTATCTCAAGCTTTCTAATATAAAGTAAATCAGATTTCTACCAATATTAATGTTAATCTCTTGTTAAACCTATTGAAACTTAATTCACAAGTTTTTATTACTTAATTTATTCAGGAAGATGGTAAAAACAATAATTATAACAGTTTATATCTGTCTTTATTAATTATTAGATCAATAATATATATATATTTATTGTGAAATTATGTTTTTCTATTATTTTTGGCATATATTTTTAAATGTAAATCATGATTCAAAATTAAGTACCCATTATTATATATTTTTTGTGCTGTTTTTCATATTTAAATTTTAGCTTCATAATATAATATAATATGTATTAATTATTATTATTATTATTTTATTTATTGTTATTGTTATTATTATTATTTATTAATTTTAATCACAAATAGGCATTAAATACAAAACTTTATTTAAATAATAAGTTTACTGTTATTATATTAACAATCTTATAAAAAAGTATAAATTAATTATAGCCTATTGCAATATAGCTATCTGTACGAATTTATATCAAATAGATAAATTTATAGAGATAATGCTAAATGACTAATGTCTATTCAGAATAATAAAATTACTATTGGAATAAATATTTGTTTATTAGTATAGTTGTTTGAGTTTTATAAAATGCTAAGAATCTTTGTAAATATGGAATTTTTTCATTTTTTTTTAGAGAACTGTTACTTAATATGCTTTTAGCTTTTGTTCATTTTATATCAAAAGATAAAGAGATAAATGCTGTTATGGATTATTGCTTCCATACTTTTTTTTATAAAGAATTTTAAATATATAGTTGAAGATTTCTTCTCATTTTTTTTGTATAATGTTGAGAGATGATTGTTTGATAATGTATTTATATCAATAAAGTCCATAGTTATAGAGTTTTGCAATTGAATTTAGAGATGAGATTTTATAGTTATAGTTTTTTTTTGTTGATAAGAAGTTGATTGTAGATACAAAAGAAGATGCATAATATATCTTCTATAAAGGTATCACACCTGAAACAAAGGTTATCTGTATATAAACTGGGATATATATTGTGTAATTTCGATCTGGTTAAAAGTGAATTAGAAATTATTTTGGTTCTGAAGATGGATAGAGCTCTATATTTAAGTTGATTAATCTTTTTTAGTTTTTTGTTGGT